TTACTGGGAAGAGTCCTGCGCTTCTATTTAAATCTCGTTCGTTGCGTACGAGTCTTGACTGTGCCAAAACGGCTGATGTCACATTTTTCAAGGGTAATGATTTACGACCCGCAACTGGAATAGTGCTTTCATCAAATGGCAAACGAATGGTCACAATTCTTGATTTGTATGATCTCTCTTGTCATCGGAGACACATTGACCAGGTTGAGTTCAATACCAGAGGTCAGTCTGTTAACGGCACTCCTGCTGTTTCAAATACTAATGAGTCCTTTGTAGATGATCTTGTGGTATCCGAACAACATGCTGTATCTGAAGAGCGTACTACCTGTGAAGATTCTGAAGTTTCCATTCCGAGAAGATCCGAAAGGTTGCGGTCAAGACCACCACTGGACTATAAACACCCGCACGCTCATTCAAGGTGTGGCGGATGTGATGAACATGACTGATGCTCTATTCATTGCTCTATTCCTTATTCTCTTGTTTTAATATTCCATATGCTGTACATATTCGCCAATTCGAATACATACGTGCTGGTTGCCACTCTTCGTTGAATTCTGGATTTCTAGTTTGTCGGGTTGTACCGATATACGTACGAAACTTAATTACCACAGCATGTTTTCCTTGTTCGCCCCGCCGTATATAGAAAGTAAGGCTACCATGCTGGTAACATCACGCGACGGACAATGTGTCATAAGATTATTGTTAGTTGTAAGTATCACGGTTGGGATGGGCTACTGCCATGGCGCCCAGACCTAGCGAGAAGTACGATTAGTGTCCTCGGGAAAGCCTCTGGTTTGAAAGCGTGACGGTAGGGCAGTGGTAAATGCAAGCGCATTGCTATCTTTGCAGAACATGTCAATACACGTGCTGCAACCCCAAAACTGGAGGACAAGGAAACCTCTATGGTTTTATTCCTAAGCATTAGCCAACCTGGTAAGAGAGACTTTGTGGGTGTAGCAAAGTCACCGCGCAGTATAGCTTAATTGGTCACGGAGGTGCACGAACCCTTAAGTCACGGCTCGGTACAGTTCCTTTAGGACAGTTACCATTAAAGACCGGCGATTAACTATCAAACCGAAGGCACACTGGACTCTGTGACAAGTCGCATCTGAGCGGACGAACGTGTCGACGATGGGGCAGTCATCATCATCATCATCATCATCATCATCATCATCATTATCATCATCATCATTGTCATCTGTGATAACCATGTACTCGTTGTACAGTGGTTGTAGCTGCCGCAGTTTCGTTCACCGATGGTTTGGGGTGGTAGGTAGCTGCGCATTGCAGGCGATAGATGATGAATTGGTGCATAAATCCAGCACTGTCAATCAACATCTCAAAAAAGACCCGCTTGCTAACAGATTTGTATTAGGACATTTTACTAAGGCGGTGTCATGGGTGATAAAAGCTTGCAATATAACCTTGATCAAATGCAGCCGGCTGTGAAATGCGCATGCTTAGCGTTCACATTATCCTAGTACAGTGGAATAAGCACATTTGTTTTTCAGATCACTTGTCTAGGGTTTGATGCCGGAGAGACCAGTGAACTATTCAAGGTACTTCAATAAGAGCAGTATTCCGGACCAATTTGATCACCTTGAGATGTTAATAAGACTGCAAAAGCGGAAATAATGTCAATCCAAACAAAAGTCACATATATGTGAACTCAAGACGTTGTTAGATTCCGATGTTAAATGGCTATTCCGGGAGTAAATGCTTTTCAGCAAGAACAATGGTGGAACTCCCTTACTGTGAATAGTGTAACGTTTGATTTATGAGTTAATCAAATAAATTTCCTCTGCTTCTACCATGCAGCCTACGGATAGGCATTCCATTCAAACCACATGACCTAAATGCGTGAAAAATTTACTGACTTCCGCAGACCTACTTTTTCTGCATGCGGTCTTATTAGACCTGTGAACTGAATATTGGTGGGGAACAAGAATCTTTGATGTGCTCAAAGGCCGCTCATTTAATGTTGACCTGATACCAGATTTTCTGCATCCGTTTCTCGCGTTATTGCTGCCGATTTTGAAACAACAGTTCTCCAAGATGTAGTAAAGCACTTCAACTCGCCGTTCTATTTTTTCACGCTAAATGCTAAAGTTTGTGTTAGGTCCTTTGGTTTACAGGAGCAAAAAACAATTAAGAAAAGAATATTCATCAAAAATTGTTTATTTTGCTACCAGTTGAACTATAAATGTTTCGGTGAATCTCGGCCGCCTCTCGAAACTTAAGGCAAATTCGCATTTGATCAACAGCCATGTCAAGTTTCCACATGTACAAAACCATCATGCAATTGCGTATAATGTGCAGCAAAATGTTCACAGGTAAAAATATAGTCAGATATCAAGAAACTGTTGGTGCACGAGGAAATCCGTAGGACTGTGGTGACATGATACTTGGAGTTCCACTCAAGAATCCAACTTCTTGCAGCACTTCTGGATCCCCTTCCCCAAAGAGCGCAAGACGCACCTCAGAATAGTACGAAAATCCAACGACAAGAAACATCACCTGTGAAGTGAAAAGTTCAGAAACTGTGAAAATTTGTTTAATCATCGGCAATATTACGAATTTTAGTCTAGTTTTTAAGTATATTTGCATATCTTAGGACATGCTGGTTCCAGAATCCAACTGAGCATAGGTATATACGGCATCTTCATCGAGACGAGGCTGAAGGGCAAGCGCAACCTCTTCCTTGTATGCGATGCAGACGACAAGGCACCAAACCTGTAAGATAAACGGTAGATAATTGCTCAAGCGTATGTCTAATTCACTCATACAACACCCGGCGGACGACGATGATACCCCTGTAGAAGGTTAGGGAGCAACAACGGAACAAGTCATGGCACGACAGAAAGAACGCACAACAGTACTTCCACTCAAATGACCAAAAACTTACACGAAGGACGTAGCATACAATGAAGAACATAACACTGAAGATCAAATATGGAGCACGCTGAAAAATGAGGATGGAAACGTAAATACCCTACCCAGGCCGCTAGTCCGTACCAGGAGTATGTATATACTCCAACTCCAAGGTCAGTTATGAGATACATGACCATTATTACGCACCACGCGCGGAGATAAGGCTTTAGATGATACAATCGCTTTAGAAAACACTATTACGTCCACTGCAACGACTTACGTATTTTGATGGCCAGAGGATTGCCACGATAACAATCACAGACATTATCAGCATTATTAAATTCGTGAACACCATGACGATATCACAAAGAATAAACCCTTCAGGTTGTTGGGGGTTCCCGAATGTAACGAACCTTTCCAGAAGCGTATCCTCCAGTATGTGGGGAATCGGTGGTCCACTTGAAATTCGGGCACACCCCAAGATATCAGGTCAAGTATGACAAAAATCAATGCGAAAAGTACGGACAGCTGTGACGGACAATATGGATATAAAACTTCACATTTACTGCTGTGAAAATTGTGGAAATGAAGCAACCCATCCTGTTATCTAAACAGAAGCAGCCTTTCATCGGGCAAATAGGGCGAACATCGTTTCGGCGACGAATCAGCCAAACCATTTCCTTACTTTAACCGAAATCAAAATGCCGCGCTACGATGGTAAGCAAATAGTAGCTCAGAATGTAGTCTAATGATGTTGTGTTCCTCATCCGTCCTTCGTGGACTTAGTAAGGCGGAAGGTACTTATTGACGCACGTTGCGTAACACTATCGTTAAATCAGCTGCAGCGGTAACCTATTGGTTTTCGCAATACCTTTCTCCGCTCCGCTGGATTTATGAGGTAAATACCTTGAATCGTCAAGGTGAAACATAAGATTCCTATTCAAATATGGATAACGCCGGGAAAATTTTATTCCACCCGGAAAATTGGTTATTTTTAGGCCAGAAAGGCATGCCAACACGTGTTTAACCGATAAAAATCTAAATTCACAGGCCATATTTAAAAACTGGCGGGTCGAAGAAAACGGAAGCAGGAGACACTAGTACTCCGTATTGGTTGGTAATATTCCGTTCAGTGATCCGCTTGGTTATGTGAATGGTCCCCATGAGTGGGCTTTTGTTCTCGTCTCTTCAAAGTGACTGTGGCGGCTCCTGTACATTCTCAAATGCACCTCCTAATTTAATAAGTTAGCTCCTTGGTTCCAACACGCATTAGCCCATACCCAAGTCACGTTCGAGTGTTCGCCTAGCCGATGGTTCAATTTAATCGGTCCCCGAGTCAGAGAAAGGCAGAGCCTTACACTGAAGATTCTTAGAGATCCCCCCGAGATCCGATGTTTTCCGTGTTCGCGTTCGGGGAGACCACAAGTTGAGTTGCTATGTAGCCGTCATTAACCGGAGACTGAGGCTGCTCGTAATGCGTAGCATAGTATGCTTTTCTTGGATATAGCCCACAAACCTGTTACTGGTAACTGATGAGCTCCTTTTTAGTGGAATGTAACAGAAGCATGACCGCAGAGCAATAACGGTTGACGCAAAGCTATCCGATTGACCCAAGCTTTAACAAACCAATTGTCACATTTTTCAGGCAGATGCGCATTTATTAAGGGGGAAGGTTTAGACGGTTGTAAGTCGACGCCCTCTGATACAGCTCGGTGAATAAAAACAATCAAATCACCACAAGGTTCAGCCTCTTTAGCACAGTTTTAGTTCGACACAAATCATCAGCTATTCACCGTACTGACGCCGGTGACAGATTTCAAAGCATTGATATAGAGGCGGTAATGTGGGCTGCACACTATAAAGTGGGAGGCACCAATACTGCCCAGACCTTTCACCCTCGCCTCTCCACTTGATTTACGCTGAGTTAGACACAAAAGGCAACATCCTGCGGCACCCGCGGGATATGACGAGCTCCATCCTACATATCTTGAAGCTGGCAGTCCTACTAAAGTGAATTCTTTGCTATCCATTTCTCAGTGTGGAATAGCCGAAATCGGACCACATGAGGTCCTATGATAAGGGAGCGCTAGTCAAATATCTGAATACGGCTCTGTTCAACTGCCTGCAAAAATCAGGGCCGCGCAGAAGGTGGCCCCTAGGGGGCCAGGCCCGCTCGTCGCTTGGCTTTCCGAAAAGAGCAGCTTTGCCGCCACAACTGTCACAGTTTCGCAAACGCTACATGAACATCACCAACTCCATGCCCGGCATCACACGCGATAAATATACAACTGTCAAGAGGCGAAAAATAATTAACCACCTAGTGCGCTTCTCCACGCAGTCTGATTGGCGAGCTCAGTGGCTTAATTTTAAGGTGCACAGCTTTAGTAAATTAAGCGACCGCAGGGCCGATGCCAGAAGGTTGTCTGACTTCGGTGGACCAACAGAGGAACGCACTTGAATTCTCTTCCACGTAACTGGGAATTATATCGCCTGTTTATACCAAGCTGGCAATGTTAGTGCCCCTTCGAATGTCAAGAATTTCAGGGCTTTCTAGCGTTTACTCTATGCTTTGTTCGGTCACAAATTTTAATATGAGAGCAAGCAACTCTGTAGTACAATACTTTGTGTACAAGTGCTCTCGAAGTGGCCCATGTATACTTCCAAATGCACACGAGTCTTAGAGCACAATGAGCTAACCATGTCCACAAACTCGTGGGGCCTTTTTTTGCCGAGTAAGGTGTTTTGAAGAGCACATCAGGTGCACGTTCTTCAAAACTCAAGAACGTCAGAATAGGGTCACTTGTACGTACAGGGTCATCCTTATACCGGCTAGCGTTTAAGGATTTGGCCAGCGCATCACGTTGGATTCGGGCTTTTACCCCCTGTTTGGCGCTCTCGGGGCCACTCCAACGCAAATGATAAAAAGCAGCGCCAAGCATCTAGTTGCAGCTGGAGTTGTGCCGCTCCCGTTTTGAATACCGCATAAGTTGCAGACCTCCGTTGTCCCCGTTTGATTGGTTTTTTGTTTTCCCAGAATGATGCAAACTGATCAGCCAAGCACTCACCAACTGGTTCGTTCCGATCGCCGGACAATGTAGGCGGGTGCCGGTCTATACAAGGGCCCCGTGGAACGTAAGATATGGTATACAGTCAAACACCACCGAAGCTGTGTGATGTTCGTACAGTTTCAGTCCAGTCCGAGAAACCCGCTGGGTTGTGGCAGGTAACCACAATGATTTCAGATTAAATTTTCGACCCAGGGGCCAAGGCATTGTTGAAGACGGATGAGTTGGTATTATCCACGATGGTTGCTCTGGCGACTTCTGAAGGCGCGTAAAGCAGATTGGCGAAAACTTCTTAGGGCATTTTGCGCATCCTCATCACTTCTACTTCTCAGCTTCATTTGTACACCGGGCATCTCAGGCAGATTTTATTTGATGTTTGATAGTTCCATGGACCAAATGAGTTTATGATCGATGGAACCGCGAGATCCCAGTTGCGCTCATGATCTACTTGATAAACAATGCTTGAACAGATCTGAAGGTCGTGTCACGGAAAACTGTAGGCATCGTCCGAGGTTATGGCAAACTACTTCTACTAACATTTGATATCCTACGGTGTGCGACAGCCCAGAAATTGGATTTTTAGGCTTATTTCAACTTTGAGGTCCATCGCGACCGCAGTTACTGCTTGCGTTGTCCACTCAACACGCATCTCCGGAAAGCGGGGAGGGAAACGGTTTCAGATGATTTCGTAGTCTGAATCTGAATAAGCATTCCAGATTGGGCTATGCAGGCAAATAATTCACATCGCTGGAGGTAAGCGAACATTATTCACTTTAGGAGCTTTGATGGTCCGCTTTTGGGGAGCACCATGCGGCCAGGAGTTTTTGTTATTTCGGAAGTCACTACTGGATAAAAACGAGTTCCTGTCTGCACAGGAGTGATGTAACTGGTGGTCGTTTTTGTACTTATTCTGTAGAATTCAAGTCGACAGCTCAACTTAAGCTGAGCGAATACGTTCAAGCTACGCGATGCATGAAACTTCAGTCAACGAGGCCGTGTAATTTTTGTTATCGGTGGTGTCCAAACAGCAGTGAGCTGAGTTTTGAGTAGACACACTAAGCAGACAGTAATCAATTACTCGCTTTTGTGAATGATTCATCGAAGTAAACGGAAAAACCACACAGAAGGGAAAATCAACGTTTTCCTTTTGCTTGGTAACTTGGGAAGATACTGACCCCCGAACTACCTGCTGCTTAGGCTTCTCACTAGATATGCAAGCCGGAAGCGCATAAAAAGCGAGGTGGTATTTAGCTCGACCACCACCTTTGAATCTTGGACTCTTGTTACTGGCAATTAGTGAACGTCAGTACCAGGCAAATCAGGGGTGGGCGCAAGAGCGGTCCGTTTTCCCACATACCTCAGAGTTAACAGCAGCCAGCCCAACTGGGCGCACGTCTTGAAGATTGGTTTTTGGATGCTTACACCTGCCGGCGCTGCGGATGGTTCGGCCAAGGTCAATTTGATAGGAATCAAGTCTATAAAGTGGTGTTATTAATAAAGAACGAGAGGTGGTGCAGATAAAGGGAGAGAATAAAAGAAGTAATCGCTTGTTTACTCCAGCATGTCCACATTTGTGCACTGGGTACCAGACGGATGAAGAAACTCGGCACCCGACAGAGCGTGAAAGTTTTTTGGTTGTAAGAAGCAATGTCGAACGTGATTTGGGGTGCCGCCATGGACTCGGTCCTTGAGAGGGAAAATGAGGGTTTTCAGCCAGAGACCTCAAAAGACTTTCAAAAGATTAGCCGAGGGTCAGCGGTGCTTAACGGGCAAAATTAATTCGCTTCAGTTCCTAAGATGGATCAAACATTACGCATGTTCAACCCCGCAACACGAAGGACTGAGAGACCGCGTCAGTAAGACCTTTAAAATCCAAAAAAGCTGGTGAGACATTTCGGGCAACCCTAGTATAGTCCGTTTGGTCACGGGTACGCACAGCCGGTCACGCTACTTCAAGTTACGCTCTCTTCATATCATCAGAAGACACTCTGCATACGTCAGTGGGAACTGGCCCTGAAGATAGTAGTTCGAATGCTGGTGAACGCATACTACGCATATGTTTGGAATTCAATGTTCGAGGGCTAAAATTTTGGCTTTCGGTGCAATGTAGTCTTCACCTCTAACTTCCAATTTGGGATGAAGTACCGGGAAGTGGTGTCTTGTATGATGACCTAGCTCCTTCCCTATTCCTATATCAACCTAGTGTTTGCAGCGGCATGACCATCAAAGTAACTGAACACCACGAGTAGATCATACCGATATACAGAATGTATATATAGGATATTTAGAACGTATGTAACGACAACAATGCAGAAATTTGAGCGCCATCTGGAAACGCCATTGGCAACTGGCACTCGACTGACACTGGAATATAGGTAGTTGCCAGGCGGATATTTCCGGCTAATCAGAACTTGGACTGATGCCATACCGACAAGCAGCCCCTCTTCCGAACATTTGCTTGCCAGCTGATATTATTAACCTTTGCAGCCCTTAACTGAGGGCGGCGGAGATATAACAAAGTATCGAAGTAAACATCGGCTTTGACAGCTCTGAAAATCCCTCGGCAATACGTCAAGATGGCGTCAAAGTGTGGAATGTAACATTTATGTTAC